AATTGTACACTTTAACATGGTTAAAATGGTAAATTTCATGTTATGTGACTTTTCTCTTAATAAAAAATAAAGAAATAATAAATAAACTACTGATTCCATTCAGGCTTAAACAAGGAACTTGGTTGACCTGTTTGGATTTGGGCAAAATCCTACCCTTTACCCATGGATTTTGCTAGACATTATTTTCCATAAAATACAGATAACATTGGCTTTCGTTTTATCTCTGTGGTGCTCATGTAGTTATCATAACACTCAAGGTGATGGTGGGAAGGGCAGGATGTATTGTAATTCATGCAAAAAATGCACATATTAATTCCCAAAATTTCATAACAGAAGCTTTCTATATTTTCTTTTCATTTCATGTAGGAATAAAATCACAGGGTAGGCTGAAAATGTTTAGGAATTACATGCAATGCTATTGAGGAAACATCAGAATGGACAAGGAGTAAGAAATTATAATTGTTAAGACTGGGAGCACCAGGTCATGAAGCTGGAGTCATCATTCAAAGAACAGACAGTCCATGGCGACCCACAGGGAGGGAAGTAAGACCTTTCCCTCCTCCCTTTTTCTAATATCCAGTTGGTGTTACCCATGGGCCAAAAGCCCTGGGAACCAGAGTCCAAGAAAGTTCATAGTTATAATCAGATGTCAGCATTCGAGGCCTCATCTGCATGGATTTGGAGGGGTCCACGGAAGACTTCCAGCCCACTTAGATCTTCATTACTTGTTTATTGGGTCTCCCCACCCATGAGTATGCAAGTTCCATGGCAGAAAAGACAATGTTCAACTTGCCTCGCATCGTAGCCGCAGTTTCTAGAGTTGATACTGAATAAATATTTGTAGGACAAATAAATAAATGACTTTGTGACATTTTCTTAGCATCTTTGAGACTCCTGGATTTTCTGGTCTATGTGTCACTGGTGTTTGGGCTGGACCCGACAGAATTAAACACTTTGGCAAATAATTGGCATACACCTTACATCACCTCCCAAACCTGTAGGAGTAGATATGCATGGAGGTTTTGAGAAGATTCCACTGGAAGGAAAAGAGAGAGAAGACAGAAGGGTGGACAGTCTGTCCAGCAGACCTAAGTGGCTACTTGGAGGCCCCTGAAGTGAATGGGTAGAATGAGAGATGGTGCCGTGGTGTTTATGAGTAAGAGGTGACTCTATGCCCAAGTACAACAGCTCGGAAGCCTAGGAGATGGTGACAGCCCCACGCTAGGGTGTGAACCTGTCAGGATGAATCTCAGCATTCAGTGGACTTGACATGGCCATGGATGGAGATTGCTGTGCTGAGCTGGGCAGATAGCTGAGGAGAAGGCATGTGAGAGGCTTGGATGAGGATGTAAAGAAGGTGGTGGAAACTGACCCTGAGCAGAGACCAGATAGTAACCCAGCAACACCCACAAACTCCTGAAATGAGATATTTCTGAGAAATAAGGAAGAGGAAAGAATACATTCTGAGATCCTGTGGTCAAAAAGCTCGCTGAGACCGAAACTGGTTTGGCTCAGTGGATAGAGCGTCGGCCTGCGGACTGAAAGGTCCCAGGTTTGATTCTGGTCAAGGGCATGTACCTGGGTTGCGAGCACATCCCCGGTGGGAGATGTGCAGGAGGCAGCTGATCGATGTTTCTCTCTCATCAATGTTTCTGACTCTCTATCTCTCTCCTTTCCTCTCTGTAGAAAATCAATAAAATATATTAAAAAAAAAAAAAGCTCGCTGAGTAAACTGAGCCAGTCCGTATTAGCAGCACAGACAGTTGCAGCTTGAGAGTTTCAAATTACTCATGGAATGGATAATTTTATTAACATTGGGAATTATTCATGAAGTAAGGGCACAGATGGGTATATACCAAATATTGGTTATGAAGTGATGTATTATTCAAAGGTGAAATGGCAAGTACTATTAGGTGTCGTACATTATAAAATTTCAAAAGAGAAGGCATGTTCCTCCCAAGATCAGCATTAGAAATATCTCCGGACCCTTTTTAATTTTTTTTTTACAGATGAAAGCACTTTATCAATGGAATATTTGCAAAAATAAAAGCCATTGCATTCTAGGTTCAATAAAGCTAAGTGGATACAAACTCTAAGATCTTTTAGTAAGAGGACGGCTTTCCCCGAATGTCTAAGACATTTGCAGCATCATTGGAAACATTTTTTAATGCAGTTCAAAGTCTCATTACAATAAACATCAAACAAGTATTTAAGTGATCAATAAGACTTTTTTTCATTTTTCATAGTTGTGGGGATGGTGCAACGAAGTCAGTATTTTTTGATGTTTTTATTGATTTTTAGAGAGAGAGGAAGGGAGAGGAATAGATAGAAACATCAGTGATGAGAGAAACATCATCAATCAGCTGCCTCCTGCACATCCACTACTGGGGATAGACCCTGCAATCCAGGCATGTGATCTGACAGGGAATCGAATAGGCCACCTCTTGGTTAATGGGTTGAAGCTCAACCACTGAGACACATCAGTTGGGCCACAGTATTTTGTTGTTGTTCTTGTTAATCCTCACCTGAGGATATTTTTTCCATTGATTTTTAGAGAAGAGTGGAAGAGAGGGAAGAAGGGGAAGAAGGAAGAGAGAGAGAGAGAGAGAAACATGGGTATGAGAGAGACACATCATTTGGTTGCCTCCTGTACACAACCTGACTAGGGCAGGGATTGAGCCTGCAACCCAGGTATATATTCTTGACTGGTAATCAAACCTGAGACCCTTTGGTGTATGGGCAGATGCTGTAACCACTTAGTCACACTGGCCAGGACCGTAGTCAGTATTTTTGATGTCCATCCTTAATTCCCTAATAGAGCCAGCTCTCCCTTGTAGAGAAAATTGATTTCAGCTGAATGGGAGCTGTTAACACCTCCCCACCATGAGGGCATCACACAGCCAATGACTGACTGACAGGAGGATTGAAAAGGCCGGTTTCCTTGCCTCAAAACGGGACTGTGCTGAGAAGCTATTCATGCTCCAGAGCTCACCGGGGGATCAGGAAGAACCCAGATCCTCTCCGACCCCTTTCTGCTTTCATCACTCTCTCTCTTCTCAGCGCACTCCTTCCGTGAGTCATAGGTAACAAAATCCTTGTCTTTCAAGGAACCTGACCTGAGTTGCCTGTTGTCATTTTAGAAATGGTGTTTGTAATGAAATTACTAGAGTGCTGTTAGTGGGAACTTAAACAAGAGTATTTGGGTAACCGCAGAAACAAGACATATCAGCCATAGGCTACATAATAATGATATTTTGGTCAACAATGAACCACAGGTTCAATGGTGGTCACAGACCAGCTAGGTCGGTGTAAGTGCACTCTGTGATGTTTATACAATGACAACATCACCTAACGATACAGTTCTCAGAACACATGCCTGTCTTTAAGCAACAATGGCTGTCTTTGTAAAACCGAGAGTCATCCTTCAAACAGTGCCCTGTTCTGACTCTCTTTCCTTGACACGTTCATTTAACAAATATTATTGAGTTAATCAGTGAACCTGATCTTCTGCGTGGTTATGGGCATACCGAGATAACTCAGTCAAGGAACTCGTGGGAAAGCTGGGGACAGAACATGAACATCTGATTGCCCAGCTGAGTATTACAAATAAAAGGTTGATAACTTTAGGTACAATGGAACAGAAATTTGAAGACAGGAGGCAACCAGATGACTTAGAACCCACAACGGAAAGCTTTTCCATGAGTAGATTTTAAGTTATCTCCAAATTACTGTATTTCTCATACTTTGCTTTTTGACAGTTGGCCAATTTGTGCAGTTGTTTTTCTCTAACCAGATATCGAGACATGTAAGCTTCCTCCCACGAATAACTGCTAGTAACTTCAGAAGCATCTAAATAGAATGTTTAAAATGTACCTCGAAGATGTTCGTTACAGTATTGTTTATAACACTGAAAAGTTGGAAATGATGCAAACTCATGTTAAATACATTATGACATGTGAACCATAGATTACCATGCAACCATCAGGGGAACAACGAAGTTCCAAAGGTTTGATGAGTTAAAGATGGTCTCCGTAGGACAAGTGGGAAAAATAAAGCTTTCAAAATAACATAGGCGTGCCTATTGTAGGTCACCTGCAGGGCAATTTCCTATGTGGGCGTGAGACATCTGGCTCTGCTATGTCATGATTTTCCCTCTACTTATGGACATATGTGACTACAAGGTTATTACTATAATCAGTGTTTTTGTGTGTGTTGTGTATTTTTTTAAATTTATTTTTAATTTGATTTCAGAAAGGGAGAGGGAGATAGAAACATCAATGATGAGAATCATTGATTGGCTGCCTCCTGCACACCCCCTACTGGGGATCAAGCCAGCAATCTGGGCATGTTCCCTTGACTGGAATTGAACCCGGGACCCTTCAGTTCACAGGCCGACACTCTATCCACTGAGCCAAACCAGCTAGGGCTATAATCAAGGATTATAAGCAAGGATTGCCAAGGTCACAACCTGGGCATGTGCCCTGACCAGGAATCGAACTGTGACCCTTCTGGTTCATAGGTAGATGCTCAACCACTGAGACACACCAGCCAGGCAAGTATATTTTTAATGGTTAATATTTTTCTGGAACTTGATTTTGAAAATATTATTGATGAGTTGCTTCCAACCAAACCAAGAAGTCAAATTTTAATAAATTCTGGCTTGAGGGATAAATACAAAAATTTAAATTTTGAATAATGTTTTATATCTAATATCCTTTTCAGTTTTTCAATTTTTTTTTAACTATTTTGCTGTTCAGGGGGGAGAGGCACATTGTAGGTGTGCCTCAAAAAATATCACTTGAGACAATGGGTCGCTATTTTTTGGACACTGTAAATTATTTGCATTACAGGAGGGCAAAGCTATTTCATATTTATGGAATTTGAGAACCATGCAGTTTTTATTCTGAGTCTCTTCTCCCTCTAGTGGAGGCAAGTGAGACCACAGGGGAAGGGAACTCACCAAGTGTAGCTTGATGTTATAATAAGAAAAATTCCTACAGTGGAGGTCACAGCTTTATTCAATTACATAGGAAATACAGGGTTCCTGAGGGCAACTGTATTAGAGCAACATGTAACACGGGTAGAGACAAAGCTTTGTGCGAGGCTCCTGTCAGAAAGAACTTCGTTCAAGCATACAGATTTACACATCCTGATAGCTAAGAGGAAATGAAGACTCAAACCCTTCTTTGTACTCAAATCGCTGCAATCAAATGCAAAATGTTGACAGCCCGTTGGTTGTCATCAGTTAGCAATTGCCACAGAAATGCTTAATAGCAAACCACTCCCGAAACTCTGCCTTAAAACCTTGATACTTGATTGTTGGTCCTGAGTCCATGGGTGGGCAGGTGCTGATTCGGGCCGGGCTCACTCCTGAGACTAGTCAGCTACAAGCCGGCTGGGTGGCTGGGTAAGGACAGTCTCAGCTGCCATAATGGGATGACTGAGCCCTCCTCCACTTGTTTTTGTGTTGTTGTTTTTTAAAATCTTTATTGATGGATCCTCCAGTTGTTTTTCACATGCCTCCAGCAGGTTAGCCTGGGCGCACTCTCATGGAGGCAGGAGTGCAAAAGCAAGCAAGGCCAGCCATGTAAAGGGCAAGGAGGAATGCACATCCAGTGTTGAAACCTCTCTTGGACTCCTGTTTGCTAAAAGTGCATCGCCCCAAGCACGTTTCAAGGCCAAGCCAGAGTCAGAGCAGGGAGTGGTTACAGTTACAGGGAAAAGGGTAGGGAGAGATGGAGACCATCCTTGAGGCCACTGACGCACTCACCCTACCACAGTTGGCTATGGTTGAGAAACCATGCCATTTCTTGCTTCAATATCCCTTACTGCTATCCCCTCTGCACTGAACACTCGGGACAAGCCAAGCATTAAAGGCCAACCTATCATAAATGATCAGATGTCTCAGCTCCCCTCTCAAGCTGTCAGTGCCACAAATAACAAAGACTGAGCCTCCATCAAGTTTCATGATCAGATTGTCTTATACATGATCATTACTGAACTAATTCAATCCTAAATAGTAAGGCGACTCAAAGTAAATATTTAATCTTTCTCTGCATCCCCAAACTAAGAATTTATAGGACCAAAGGAAGAGGAGAGGGACAAGGGGTTGGGAAGAAGAACTCCATGGTCAAGAGCTCGAAACCCAGCTCAGCCACCTGTGGCTGTGTGATGCTGAGGAAGTTACTTAACCTCTCAGAGTCTCAGGTTCCTTGTCTTCAAAATGGAGAGCAATCATTTATTCATCCTATGTTTATGGAGACTCTACTAAATATAATCCTCTGGACTCATGGATCTATGTTGGAAACACCCTAGAAAAAGAAAAATTCTAATACAGGGCTCAAAAGCAGGGAGCCTTAGGGGACACACAGAGGTGACATCTAATCCTACTTCAGATTCAGCGCATGCTTCCTGGTGGAAGTGATGACTAAGCTGAGACTCAAAGTGAGGGCAGAAATTTGTCAAATTTTCAGGAAAGGTGTCCTATGAAGAGGGAGTGGCAGGTAGAAGTTCTAAACTCAAGATGTTTCCTTTCTGGCTAAAATCATGGCAAGCCGAAGAATATTCTAGCATACTCTAGAATATTCATTCAGGGATACAGCACACATTCCCTGGAGATCTCGGTAAAATTCAAGTTCTGGTTGTGCAGATCTGGGGTGGGGTCTGAGATCCTGCATTTCTAATGAGGTGATGCTGACCCATGGACCACCCTTGGAGTAGGGAGGTACTGGAGAGGCCACTGAAGGGAGGATTTCTACAGTTAAAATTTTCCTCTCCTTCTCTCCCTGATACTTCAGGCTTTATGGGGAATCAAGGTGGGACAGTGATACCTTTGTGAGCAGCGTAAATCCTGGCCAACTCAGAAAAAAGTTCCTGGAAGGAAGGGAAATGGTGGTTCCCTAAAAGGTCCCAGGAAACCAAAACACTTTCCAAAGGCTGTTGTCATCAAGTTTCAACCCTTCACGAGATGGTAGAGTCCTGCTCCACCAACCACTCCTACTTACCTACATAACTCTCGAGTGTTTCTGTCAAAGTAGCCTATATGTCTATGTGCTTTGTTTGCCCCCCTGGGACTGTCATTACAGTTTTACTGACCATTTCTTTGAAAGTAGGAATAGTGTTTGTCAAAGGGTAAGCCAGTCACGTGGCAAATCCTTTACTGAGCATTGTGCTGTGTCAGGCACGTGGTAGGTGCTAGAGGGGTACGGTTGGAGCCACACAACAATGAACATAAGAAAAAACCAAAATGGCAGCCAGATTATCTTGCTCACGCCATTGCACTGAGATCTGTTATTTTCACAAAACTCTGGAAAGGCAAAGATTTGCAGGACACAGACGGTGAAATTGTCATCTGGAATGGAAACTCTCATTTCCCACCAGAACACAAAACGATGGGGAGACTGCCCACCCATCTATGCTCTGCGTTGCCCAGGATATTCTTGGGCTGGTGTGATCTTGTGTTTCTGCATTAAGCCGGGAAGAGAAGATTTCGGAACAGGCTCCTGTAGACACTTGCTTTTCTCCAATGTTGCTCCATACCGTATTGGAAAAGCAAGAAAAGGCTTTAAGCCTGTGAAGAGAAATCAGAATCAGCAGCAGAATTAGTACAAATATAAGTCCAGGGGTCATATCTATAAGGGGCATAGGGCTTCTAAATATAGAGATAATACAGCAACAAATATTAGAAGGATAAGCATTAAAATGTTAACAGTGATTATATCTAGCGTGGCAGGCCTCATTGGCAAACTCAAGAGCTATTCTCAAACTCTTCACCAATGATAACTCCCATTCTCTCAGCTAGAAAGCCAAATACTTGATTTATCAAATGCCTTTATAACTATGAGTGGTCACGTGATGCAGTTCTGATCATTTACGTGAATTGGAAATCCGCTGGGGGTTCCTGGGAAACCTTTTGCATCCTGTTAAACTGGGAGAGGACTGAAAGGGGACTGTGGCTTCTGCCCATCCCTCTTCTTCCTGCCTTGACCATGGTCATGGTGGCTGGAGCTATGGCAGTCATCTTGCAACCATGAAAATAATTTGATGGAAACCCAACATGTCGATAGTGGAATGGCAATTTAGGGAGGGTCTAAATCCTTTATAATACTACCAAGCAATAGAACCAATACCAGCAACCCCTAACTCTGGGCTTGCATTCTTGCAAGAAAAACAATTCCCTATTTAATTAAACCACTGGATCTTATTTTGCGTGCTTGTAATATATCAGTGGAAAAAATAAAACATTCTAGTGGAGGATGGAAGACCATGAATAGTAAAATAAATAAGGAGCTACAGTATGTTGGAAAGTAGGGTGCCATGCAAAAAAAGTCAGGGTAAAGGGGCAGGGAAGACATGAACACCAGGGTAGAAGAAGAGGAGGAAGTTCTAAATAGAGTTGTCAGAGGAACTCCGCTGATAAGAAATGACTGAAATAAAGATTTGAAGGCGGTGAGGGAAGTGGGGGAGTTGGTCATGTGGGTAGCAGGACAAGGAACATTTAAGACAGCGAGCTTCCAATTCCAAGTTCCTAAGGAGGAAGCAAGCCTGGCGTGTTTGAAGAATCCTGAGCAGAGTGAAGTCGAGGAGAAAAAGAGTCAGAGCGGAAAGGGCTTTGTGGGCCACCCGGAGGACTTTGGCTTTTACTCTGAGAAAGGTGGGAGCCATGGCGTGCTGTCGGCAGAGAAAGGAGGAGACCTGGCACAAGTGCCCTCTGGCTGCTACAGCGTTGAACGGTCCTTTATGTCATCCAAGCCATTTACTTGCCAGTCATGTTTAATACCTGTAAATTTCTTCTTAATGGCACCGTTAGAGCTAGCATAAATCATTTTGCTTTTAAAAGGTGCACTTTCAGGAGCCCATAGTGCCCACAGCTGTGGCTGCACGGCTGGGCTCCGGCTGGGCAGCATGGGGAGGAGGAGGATGGGGGGGCGGTGGGGAGCGGCGAGTGCGGGGCATACTGCTTTATATTTTAAACAACTGTCAGCATTGCAAAATAATTCTGTGGAAAAATCAATTTTACCTCCATTTGCACATTCATTTAAGTATTTGTGAAATTATGTACATATGTATTATAATTCATGTATACATATGTGGAATACACATATAGTATATGTAAAATGATACATATTATTTATAATTTTATGTATATTTATTACTGCACATATAGTTTCATTATATATAATTAAATGGTATATTTTATATATATAATTATCAATGAGGAAAACAGACAGATGTTATAACTGGCTCAAAATAAAATGCAAATGTGATATATAAAAATAGATATCACAATATGTATTACATAATGCACATGTAATGTATACAACATATATAATGTATACATTATATATTATATAATGCATATCTTTCTATATAAAAGCCTAAGCGACCTTTCAACCGGTAGCTATGAAGCATAGTGACCACCAGGGGGCAGACGCTCAACGCACAGGCATGGAAACATGGAACAGACTGATGAATCTCAGAGAGAAGGGGGGAAGGGGAAGAGTGGGAAGAGATTAACCAAAGATCTTATATGCATACTACAGGCCCGGTGCACAGATACATGCACAGGTAGGGTCCCTCGCCTGGCCTTCGAGGATCAGACTGAAACCAGCAGTCCAACATCTCCCTAGGCGTCCCAGATTGCTAGAGGGTGCAAGCCAGGCTGAGGGACCCCACTGGTGCACAAAACTAGGCACTAGGCCTCTAGTGTAATATATAATGTGTAAAAAGCTTGCATGATATATAATACACAGGTATTATATACAATGCATGTAAAATATACATAACATATATTACATAATACATATACATGTTTGTACTTACTCTTTTGAGCCAGTTATAACATCTGTTTGATTCCCTCACTGATGCAGTGATTCTCAACCTTCCTAATGCTGCTACTCTTTAATACAGCTCCTCATGTTGGGGTGACCCCCAACCATAAAATTATTTTAGTTGCTACTTCATAACTGTAATTTTGCTACTGTTATGAATTGTAATGTAAATATCTGATATGCAAGATGTATTTTCATTGTTACAAATTGAACATAATTAAAGCATAGTGATTAATCACAAAAACAATATGTAACTATATATGTGTTTTCCGATGGTCTTAGGCGATGCCTGTGAAAGGGTCGTTCAACCCCCAGGTTGAGAACCACTGGATTAGTGAGTAGAATTAAGATTCTTAACATAAGCTCATTTTATAATTATATGAGTCAAGATTTTTTCTTGGTTAGGTCACATAACTACTAAGAGGCAAAGCTAAGATTTGAACCTAGGCAGCCTGGCACCTGAACCCCACACTTCACCAGTGGACTAATCCACGTGGATACACTTAGCTCACTGTAGGTACTAACACACAGCAGTGTCTCATATTGCTAAGAAGCAGGTGTGCCCTTCAACAGAACCTCCGTCAAACACCCAGTCTCTCACCGCTTTGGAAGTGGAGGCGATGGATGACAGTATGACCCCTGAGGTCTGGGACTGGGAGCTGGGTTTGGCCTTCCTGGTGATCCATCTCCAGTATGCCTCCCGTACCTGGAGTTGGAGACAGACATGGGACGATGAGTCACTTCCAGGTGCAGGAAGTGTGCTCCACAGGCATGTCCCCTGGAAGGGGGAAGTCAGGGACAGGGAGGGCAGCAGCTACATACCTGGCGGCTGAGCAGACAGTGAATGAGGAAGATGAAGGCTCCCTGCAGGCTGTTGATGATGGTGAACAGGTAGGCCATGACACTGGCTATGGGTCCTACCTGGAAAATGCCCAGCACCCAGGAGCACCCCAAGATGAAGAGCTGGGCAAAGGCCTTGAATGTCAGCAACCTGGGGGAGAAGATTTGCAGAGGGTAAGGTACTGGGAGGGCTGTTGTCCTTGTGGGTCATGCTCCCAAGAGTGGTCTGAGGCTGCCACTCCATGACCCGCCACCAGGGCGGGAATAAACGTGGGGCAATCTCCAAGGCTAGAGGGAGGAAAATCAAATTCTACAGGCACCTGAAAGGCAATACATCTACAGGTACACCTGGGCACAAAGATGTGTGAACGCATATTTAATGCAATTGTCTGAAAGCTAGAAGGACCCACATGTCCATGAATTTGGGACACATTTGATCAATGGTAAAGCCATGGTATGAAATACTATAAAGCCCCCTTATTTTTAATTGAGGTAAAATTCACATTACATAAAAATCACTGTTTTTACCATAAAGTGTGCTATTCGGTGGTATTTAACATATTCACAATGTTGTACAAACATCACTACTACCCAGTCCCAAGACATTTATCACCCCAAAGAGAAACCCATCCCTATTAGGCAGTCACTCTCCATTCCCTTCTCCCCCAACTAGGAACAACCCAGGTGGCCATCAAAATATGAATGGATCAACACAGTGTGGCCCATCCCTGCACTGGAATACTATTCAGCCATGAAAAGGAGTGAAGCGCTGACACTCACTAAACACGGATGGACCTTGAAAACATGATGCTCAGTGAGAGAAGCCAGACACAAAAGGCCACACAGTGTGTGATTCCATTGATGTGAAATGTCCACAACAGGCAAAGCCAGAGAGACAGAAAGCAGATTATAAAATAACTAGAGGCCTGTTGCACGAAAAGATTCGTGCAATAGGCTTTCCCTTCCCCTGGCTGCCAGCACCAGTTTTCCTCCGGCACCTGGAACCCAGGCCTTTGCTCCGGCCGGAGCCACTTTCAAGCCTTCGCTGCCCCGCCCAGCTGCCCCGGGTCAGGTCGCACACGGGATGCCTGGGCGGGCCGGCCGATCGCTGCTGCCCCACCTGGCCGCCCCAGGTCGGGTCGCACACTGGACGCCCGCCACCCCGGGTCGCAGATAGCAGGCCCGGATGGCAACAGGGCAGGCGGGATGGTGCTGTCCTGCCCCACTGCCCCGGGTGGCAAATAGCAGGCCCGGATGGTGGCGGGGCAGGTGGGATGGCGCTGTCCCGCCCTGCCGGAAGTATGCAAATTAGCTGCCATCTTTGTTAATGGTTAATTTGCATATCATGCTGATTAGCCAATGGGAGGTGTAGCGAAGGTACGGTCAATTACCATGTTTGTCTATTATTAGATAGGATTTTTAAAATGAAACGAGAGTGACAATATACTATGGAGGATAAGGAATGGTCCATGCTCTGGGACAGACTGCCTGCAAATAAATTCTAACAGCTTCATTCACTAACCTGTGGCTTTAGTAAGTTACTTCACCTCACTGTGCCTCAGTTACCCCCAATTGATATAGAGATAATAACACAATGGTATTATGTTATAATAACACGATAGTATTGCTTGTCCTACAAATTAAATAAGATGGCAAGACCCTAAAGGTGCATAGAACAGTGTGTGGCACAAAATAAGCATTTTTGTTAGTGTTAATCTTAAGTATTACACGAAATAAACTATGTATTATGTGGGGAAAAAGTGCTGGATGATATGTAGAGTATCCTATCACTTATGTAATAGGGGGAGGATATGTAAGTATAGAATTTTCTGGAAGAAAACTCAACTTGAGTGATAATGGCTGCTTAAGGTGGAAGAGATCTGGGGACCTGTGGTGTCAAGGAAGGAAGAGAGAATTACTTTTCACATGTTCTCTTTGTGAACTCTGAGAAAAAAGACAACTACTAAGAAGAGCTCCTGGTGGTTAACTGGGCTCAAATTTTTATTTTTATTTATTTATCTTTTAAAAAAATATATTTCTTTTTTTTCTTTTTTTTAAATATATTTCACTGATTTTTTTACAGAGAGGAAGGGAGAGAGACAGAGAGCCAGAAACATCGATGAGAGAGAAACATCGACCAGCTGCCCCCTGCACATCCCCCACTGGGGATGCGCCCGCAACCCAGGCACACGCCCTTGACCGGAATCGAACCCGGGACCCCCCAGTCCACAGGCCGACGCTCCATCCACTGAGCCAAACCGGTTTCGGCAAAAAATATATTTCTTTATTGATTTCAGAGAGGAAGGGAGAGGGAAAGAGAGAGAGAAACATTAATGATGAGAGAGAATCATTGATCGGCTGCCTCCTGCACTCCCCCTACTGGGGATCGAGCCCACAACCCAGGCATGTGCCCTTGGCTGGAATCAAACCTGGGACCCTTCAGTCTGCAGGCCAATGCTCTATCCACTGAGCCAAACCGGCTAGGGTTGGGCTCAAATTTTTAAAAACAGCCTAGCAGCCATTTCTGCCCAGGGGCCTCTCACATAAACTGTACTTCATGGAGGTATTGGAATGCCTGCCTTCACTATGTTTCTGCCATCTAAGCCTGCCCTTATAAAGGAATTCCTGGAATCCTATTTCAACCAATAGGACTAAGACTTTCCCCATCCAATCAGAGCTGCACAGTTCCAGCTAATCAAAACAGCTCTATTCTGACCAATCAAACTGTGAGGATTTGGAATCCTCATTTGCATGAGGATGGACCAATCAGAGACCAGGGATGAGGAATTCTGTCCATATAAACCAACTTCCCCTCTGGGTCAGAGAACAAACTTTTCCTTTCCACCAAAACAGAAGGCTGTGTCTCCCTGGCTGAACTGAAACACTGAAGATCTCTCACCAGAGCAGAGCAGAACAGACCAGTGCGGTGCAAAGTGAACAACCTGGAGCAGAGCAGAGCTGTCCAGCTAGAGAGGGGTCTGGACCGACGCCTCACAGCCATGTGGTATCACAACTGATCTGTTTCCTTTCACCACACCCACAACTGGGGATTCCAGTTGGCCTTGAATTGGCACCAACAACTGTCAGCCATTGGTTGACATCTTTTACACTACTTAATTCTTCTTATTAACTTTGAACTTTTTACATTAACTTTTTAAAAATAACATTTTAAAAATATATATTTAAAATGGATGAGGGATTGGACACTGACAGAATAACAAGCAGAGGACATGAGCAGGTTGCTGACAATGAAACCTACACGGTGTCTGGGTTTCAGGAGGTTCTTAAAATGAAAATCAGTTGAGTGATGAAGTTAGGAAACACAAATGGTCTGATAATGGAAAAAATAAAATGGAGGAAGCATTGCTAAGAGTCACTAACACAGAGTTAGGAGGCTCTTAGGGAAGTGGGGCCTCTGCAAGACCTGTGTCTGGGTTCTCAGAGCTGCTATTAAGTTGCAAATGGGCTGCTGAACTGGGCTCAAGGCTGAGCCATAAACATCCTGGAACTACATATGAAATTGCCCTCTTCCTAGCAGGGTTTTTTTTCCCATTGCTTTTTTAGAGAGAGTGGGAGGAAAGGGGGGGCGGGGGGAGAGAGAGAGAAACAGCAGTGTGTTGACACATTGATTGGTTGCCTCCTGCAGGCTCCCTGACCAGGGCCAGGGATTGAAACTGCAACCCAGGTACATGCCCTTAACTGGGAATTGAACCCATGACCCTTCCATGCGTGGGCTGACGCTCTAATCAACCACAGCCAGGGCCTTCTTGTGGTTTTTGCGTCCCTCAGTTGCATATTGAAACTAACAAATCCTGGTAACCTAGCCAGCAATCCTTCATTTGTAGGAAAGAATTACACTGGGGGGTAAACTATTGATGAATTTCTAATTAAATTTAAAAATACTCATGTTAGAGAAAAATGATAATACAAATAAAATAGTATTCTGTTTTTGCACATATAAGTATGCACAGAGTAATTAGAAAATGTATCAACATATGTTCAATATATGAAACACTTTCCCTAGTAAACTGTTAGCATCGGTAGCTAGTTAGTGTTAATAAAGGAAGGGAACAAAGGGAATCAAACGTTAAGCCTATAAACTAGGGAGCTGAACTGGATATGAGGCCTGTTCACTAGGAAGTTATAGCATTCATGGGCTCCCCCGGGGACCACCACATCTTCCACCCTGGGACTTAATCCCCAAAGGATGCAGAAAGCATCTCCCCAGGGAACAAGTGGCCAGGTACCTGGATTAGCCAGGGGAGCAGGAGCAAACTCCTTTACTAGGCACATGCACAGTAGAAGCCAAGATGGCACAGAGGAGGTCCTTCTACCATGAGGCGTGTGCAGTAGGAGTCTAGATGGCAACCATAGAGGGGAGGTACCAAGACTGGGAAAAGAGTCAGATTGGATGAGGGCATGGAACCCTGGAAGGTCCACAAAAGGGACTGATTCGGGGGATGACCCAGTACAAGCCCAGAAAAACCCAGGAAGTATGTTGGATAGTTTGAAAGCAATCTATATATATTAGAGAAATATGCTAATTAACCAGGACACCATAACGGGTTGACTGGACAGGAGGAGGTTGTGCGCGCAGCACTGGGGGCGGGGCAGCAGGGGCCTCCACGCACCTGTGCTGGGGGAGGGCCTGATCAGCAGCAGCCATGGCTGCTTCAAGGGCTGGAGAGGGAGTGGGTGGCACCTGGTGATTTCGAATCGCACGCTGGGCTCCTAGTATCTATAATAATAAAAGTGTAATATGCAAATTGACCAAACAACCAAACAGCAGAACGACTGTCCAGACAGCCACGCTATGACATGCACTGGCACCAGGCCAGCCAAGGCAGGTGGGATGTGATTGGTCAGGAGCCCTGCCATTGCCCCACGATCTCCCTGCAGAGGGAGGCCCAGGCTACCTAGCCTGCAGCGCTGTGGTGGGTGGGCAGGACCTCCCTCTGTGAGGCGATCAATCTGGGTGCCCCATAATCGATCACCCCACAGAGGGAGGCCCAGGCCAGCCATGTGATCACACTCCACGCCTGTCGCCCACAGAGGGAGGCAACCGATGGCTGGGGAGGGGAGAGGCAGCGCTGCACTGATGGCAAGCAGTGGCAGTGGTGGGGGTGGGGCCAGCTGCTGGCAGCCAGGGGA